GTTATGTACGCAGACTTCGAAGCACTTATTCTAAAAACGTCACAGCGAGTAGGATCCAACACCACTGTTTTGCACATCAGCCGATAAATTACGGGTTTATGGTAGTTACTGCGAACGAGGCGCCGGCGGAATTTCTAGAGCAGTTCGACATCCCGAGGACTCCGATCGTTTTCCGAGGCTTCGAGTCCTCGTGCGATGTCACCAAACGATTTGTCCTGGCCGTCACCGAGAAGGCTGAAAGGATATATAAAATGCTTAAGACGACTAACGTGCCGATCGCGATGAGCGCTGAAGATGCACGCGTACATAGAGTCAAGCCCGTGTGCGATTTGTGCGCGGAAACATTAACCGTTTCCAACCTCAAAATCGCACACCACGACCACTTGTCGGGTCTTTTTCTGATAACTCTATATAACACGCGCAATCTCAAATTACAGACGCCCAAGTTCGTCCCCTGCTTTCTGCACAACTTGTCGAATTACGACGCCCACTTCATCGTCACCGAATTGAGATATGATACCAACACGATATCGGTGATAGCTAACAACTAGGAAAAGTTTATTTCATTTTCGAAACATATAAATAACGAGTTCACTGTCAGGTTCATCGATACGTGCCGCTTCGTAGCATCGAGTTTGGCCGACTTGGCGCGGAATCTCACGACCGCAAATTATGACAAGTTCCGCGAAGTCGCTAGAGTTTTCAGTCCGACGGAGATGCCACTGGTGACGAGGAAAGGTGTGTATCCTTATGATTACACAGATAGCTGGGACAAATTGCTCAAGACCAAGTTACCGGATAGGGAGGAGTTTTACAGCACGTTGACTGATACGCACATAAGCGACGCTGATTACGAACACGCGGCTCAGGTGTGGAATCGTTTCGGATGCCTCATTCTTGGCGGCTATCCAACTGCACCCCGCGTATTATTATACGGCACGGGGCTTCAGTTTTGACTGCATGCTCAAGTTCACGTCGATGAAATAATAACTGCTTACTAACTATGATGAAATATTACTTTTCGAGTCCGGAATTCGAGGTGAATTAGTGCAGGCGTGTGGCCGGTATGCCAAAGCCAACAACTTTAAGACACCCGGGTACAAGCCTGATGAGCCGACCACATTGCTAGCTTATCAGGATAGTATTTATAAATATAAATGTTCGTGTTATCATATGTATTAATTTTTTTTTTTTAATTAGCGAATAATCTTTACGGATATTCTATGAGCAGATACATTTCGTACGGTGATTTCTCGTGGTACGCGGGAAATCCGGCCGTGGCGTTGGCTCAACTTGAGTAGATGATGGAGACGGACGACGTGGGGCTAGTCTACGAAGTGGATATCTCGTATCCGCAAAATCTGCGCAACGAACACAATGATATGCCATTTCTCCCGCACTCCGGCATACCGAAGAATTCTTCATTTTTTTGAATTCAACATAGATAGTGCTACATATACATAAAGAAGGCGGCGGAGAACGACGCACCTGTTATAGATTTCAAATTATTCAAAATCTACAGCAAATCGTTCCCCATGCATCCGAAACGATTCCACACCTGAGCCGCGTGTTCGTAATCAGCGTCGCTTATGTGCGTCTCAGTCAACGTGCTGTAAAACTCCCCCCTGTCCGGTAACTCGGTCTTGAACAATTTTTCCCAGCTATATCTCCCAGTATAATTTGGGTTACGTGCCTCCGGTGTCATTAATTTATAAAGGCGAGCATACCTAACTCGTACACGCCTAAGATCAGCCCGTCAATTTACGATAATGTGAAACCGCTACCTTTCCCCGCATAAAAGTACTCTTTGGCGTGAAGAGCGTTAAAATCACGATCGACCAATAAGGCAAAGTCACTATCCGTCACGATTTAAGATAATATGGTTGCCCAACGAATCATGATAAAATGTCTACTAAAATCACTAATAAAAACAACTGGAAAATATACCATTAGCGCTTCAATTGAATAGTGACTATAGCTTATAATCTCAAATACCGTGCTAGCGGTGGCGCGCTGTATAGTATATTTAATATTAGTATTAACATTATTTTTTTTCGTGATTTAAAAATACTTTATTGGATGGTTTTTTCATTTTCCGTATATTACATACTTGTATTAAAGTTAAAATTTTGTATTATACGAATCAAAGTAAAACAAATGACTTATGAAGTAAGTAAGTAATTAATAACAATTTTAATAAACATAAATTTAAATACTTTAATATTTTGTATATAATAAACCAAATAACTATTTAAAATTTATTTAATGAAAAAAAATTATATACAAATGTTATATTATATAAAACATAAGTAAAAATAAAAAATATCAATAATATCACCCATTATGTACTAACTAATTTTGAAAGTTTTTTTTTAACTTTTTTTTATTTTTTATTATTACGATTTATTTGACAACTGTATTGCCGCATTCTCATTATCAGATAGTATGTACAGATATATGCTATAATTTCTGTTTGATGTTCAATACATGGAAAATTAATATTGATATTTTTACTAAAGAAATCTTCATATGTATCTTCAAAGACTGTAGCTGAATCAGCAAATTTTTGAAAAGATATTTCCAATGATTTTAATAATTTAAATAAGTTAGTGTTTGGGTGTGTAAGGTAACCTCTGCTTTTTACATTCACTAATTCTGCTACTGATATAGTTGAAAAAGTGTTCATATTCTTTAAATATATTTTACACAATTTACATTTAGTCCGCGCCACTAAATGTTTTGCTATATATCTATGTATGATTCAATTTATATATTAATATCTATTTTTTAATTTTAAGAATATCTACATAACTATATTAAAATCTCTTACTCGGCTAAATAATACACAATACAATCAAAAACAGTAGAATTTGAATAATTGTGTTCAGTAAAAACGTCATCAGCATCCCAGCATCCCTTATTTATTTATTTATTTATTTAAAATTTAAACGGGCCAGGCCCAATTACATACATGATAATAATAAAAACAAACGATCGTTAAAATAATATACAAATAACAGAATACTTATAGAGAAAAACAATAAAGCAAAATATTAATTATTATTAATATACTTATAGCTATGAATTACGAAGTAAGAAATTACAATAATTTTTGAACGAATAGAAGTTTGGTGATATGAACAGATTAATATTTAATTTATTTATAGTTTTCATAATTCTATGATGGGGAGTATTGGTTGCATAATTAGTTACTTCTGTGTTTAGATAAAAAGTGTTTTTAGACCGGGAGCTACGAGTAGGGGTATGGAAGGAGAAGCGACTTAGGAACTCAGGACAGTCTACATTTCCTGAAAAAAGTTTTTACGAAAAATACAAATCTAATCGCAAACGACGTTGTTCTAGAGTTTCGA